GAAACAAGGGCCCCATTTCCGTTGTGTGAATAATTTATCTATCGCTCCGAGTTTTCTTACCAGTAGGCAGGAAATAGCCTCTTTGCATAGAAGGCATTTTTTTCCCTTCCCCGACCCTTTTCTGCTTAGTGAGCAGCTGAAGATCAGCTTAAGAAAGGATATTTATTTTACCCTTGCATAGCCAGAAAGAAAGTTTGTCCTTGAATACAGTATGTGGAAGTGGAGGAACAGAAACAAAGTTTCCATTTCTCCTCCTCCAATGCAGTGTGTGCCCTGACCGTGCCAGGACTGGACTGGTTTGTGATGTCACTTGCTAAATCTTAAAAGACATTATTAAGAAAATGGAGCGTGACATGAAAAAAAAATGTTAACACTACTTATAGGTGACTTTTAATGTTTTATTCAATGGTATAATTTCCAGGTAACGTGATTGCTCCATCTTAAAATAACTAATTGTGCATGCGCAGCGCATTGGTTGGTCAGTAAAAGGTAATTGCACGTGAGCAGAATTTATTCCATGACTGTCGAAGCAATATGGGAAGTCATGTCAAAGTGTTCAAGTGGGCTACTGATGCCAACTTGGGGCTGTTTGTGAAGCATACATACATTCTTACACATTAGAAGTTCTTAGACAAAAGGGTCACTGTAATAGCAAAGAGGGGTAATCGGTTTAGAATGAAGACCATCCCTCTGAAAATAGATCATTTAACTAAAAAAAATAATAGATGATTCAAACCAGCCAGAATTGATACTGAAGGGGTTAAACATGATCCCATTACTACACCCTTGCACTATGACAAAGGTAGGAAACCTTTGGCACTCCAGTCTTTGTGATCTACATCACCCATTAAGCTCTTACAACCATACTGCTGGCAAAGCATCAGGGGAGATGTAGTCCACCTGGAATGCCAACGGTTGCTTACCCCTGCTCTATGGTAAGCAGGTTGTGATCTTAGTGTGGTGCCCTTGTCGTTTTAATGCCAATGTAAAGCATTGTGGTTTTGTAGAAACGGCAATGTGAACATGGCAGGATTAAACACACCTCTAGTGCTAGTCTTCCTGGCAGCCACTAGAGGCTCTTCCCTGTGAGAACAGAGTCATACTCGACAGTCAATTAAATACTGCTCACAGAAAGCATTTGGCACAACCAGGGCCGGTGCAAGCATTAGGCGGCACAGGCAAACACCTTAGGGTACACCGACCCAGGGGACGCAAGGTCTGGGTGACCAGTAGGAGGTAACGCAAGCAGTGGAGTCATGGAGCGGTGCCTGGAAGACCCCAGGTAAGAAGTCAAAATGTTCCAAAGCAGTTAGGCTATTTGCAGTGGAGCGTGCTGTAGTGGTTATGGTGCTTAGAGTGTTCCTTTAAATATCAGAGGCTCTGTTAAGCAATGCTATCTGTATCCCTAGAGAGAAAATAGATTGTGAAATGTTCCCAGCAGGGAGAGATGTAAATATAACGGTAGACTCTCTGATTTAATAATCCAGCATGTTGTATGTGTGTTTGATAAATTCCGTGCCCTATTTGTACACCTGTTTTACAGCTGGAAACCTTGAATACTAAGCTTACTATATTTGAAACACTGCATGCACGTGCTGTACAGTTTGCTCCTTGAATACACAGCAAGGTTTAAAATTAGGAATTTCGCGTACTCTATTATTAACCCCCTGTGGGACCAATAGATACAATAATAAGTGATTTGCCTAAGCTGGTCTTAAAGGGGTTAAATGCTTCTAACTCACTCTCTCCTCTGCAACCTCTCTTTTTTTTGGAATGCCTGTCTCTCCCGCTCTCTAGCTGCTCTATATCTACATCTGGCTGTCTCTCTGTCATTATGTTGGGGTTTTCTCACTAAACCGCCAATTGTTGGAGAACTGAAAAAGTAGATTGCAAATTGCATTCCACAATATCTGAGTTGGAAAATAGCTGAGATGTTTTTGCCTAAAATTAGCAATTCCCCAGCCGATTCTCTGCGGTTCTCAGTTTAGTGAATAAAACATTGTGCATTTACAATATGTCTCACTGCTTTCCTCTGTACCTGTCTCATTCTCGCTTCAGCCCATTCCTTCCTTGCTCTCTGCATCTCAAACACAAACTATGGGGGAGATTTATCAAAGTGTTCTGTTCTAAAAAGTGGTCTAAAGCACTAAAAGTGGGGTAGTCACCATGGAAACCAGAGGAACCAGTAGGCACATTCTATTGGTGACTCCTTCCTTTTTTACATTTTGTCACCACTATTTAGAGTGATATATCCATAACTCTAACATATTTAGGAGGGACAGTCCATATTTTAGGCCTAAATCCTTCTGTCTACATTTTCCATCCTATTGTCCCGCTTTCTTTTCTATGAGCTCCATATTATTGGTGTGTCTGAATGTATAACAGAGCTCCACAGCAATAATACTCACATTAATGTGTCTTTAAAGTACAATATATGTGTTTATAAATCAGCCTGTGTATATAAGATTCATTGTTGTTCTAAATTACATTCTAGTCGCATAAATTGTGATTAGAAAGTCACCTACAATTTCTGATAAAAGCCCCACCCCTGGACACACCCTTACTCACATCCCTAAAATTAAAGTGTTCCTCCTTGTCCATTTGAAATGTTTAAATATCCAATCATTATAACTGTGTGCCTGTCCAGGGGCGGACTGAGAGCCTTTGGGGCCCCCGGGCAAAATTAGATCCCAGGCCCTTTGAAGGCCAAATATATGTGCATTTTAATAAATGTTAAATATAATTCATAATACGGCATTCCTTTGGATGTGTGTATTGTGAAGACCTGTGTATCAATGCATGTTTGTATTTGAGTCTGTGTAAATGCACTTGTGCATGTCTGGATGACTACATGTGCTTTTTTGTATATAGTGTCTGTGTGAATGCATATGTGACAGGTGACAGAGTGTGTGAGGGAGAAGGTGACAGGTGGAAGAGTGTGGGAGGTTGTGACAGGTGGCAGAGTGAAGGGGTACCTGGTGGCAGAGTGAGGGAGGGGTTGAGTGGTGGCAGAGTGAGGGGGAGACACAGTGAGTGGGGGTGACTGGTGACAGAGTGAGGGAGTGGGTGACTAGTGACAGAGGGAAGGAGAGGGGGGGACTAGTGACAGAGGGAGGGAATGGGAGACTAGTGACAGAGTGAGGGAATGGGTGACTAGTGGCAGAGTGAGGGAGGGAAGGGGTGACTAGTGACAGAGTGAGGGGATGACTGGTGACAGAGTGAGGGGGGGGTGACTGTCACTAGTCACCCCATCCCTCTCTCTGTCACTAGTTACTCCCTCCCTAACTCTGTCACTGTGTCACCCGCTCCCTCACTCTGTCACTAGTCACCCCCTTACTCGGTCACTGTGTTACCCCTCCCTCTGTCACTAGTCACCCCCTCCCTCACTCTGTCACTAATCACCCCCTCTCTCCCTAGTCACCCCCTTCCTCCTCTGTCACTAGTCACCCCATCCCTCTCTCTGTCACTAGTCACTCCCTCCCTCACTCTGTCACTGTGTCACCCCGTCCCTCACTCTGTCACTAGTCACCCCATCTCTCACTATGTCACTAGTCACCCCCTCCCTCACTATGTCACTGTGTCACCCCGTCCCTCACTCTGTCACTAGTCACCCCATCTCTCACTATGTCACTAGTCACCCCCTCCCTCACTATGTCACCCCCTTCCTCACTCTGTCACTAGTCACCCCCTCTCTCACTCTGTCACTAAGGACAGAGAGGGTGATTAGTGATAGAGTGAGGGAGGGGGTGACTAGTGACAGAGTGAGGGAGTAGGTGACACAGTGACAGAGTTAGGAGGGAGTGACTAGTGACAGAGGGATGGGGTGACTAGTGACAGTCACCCCTTCCCTCTCTCTGTCACTAGTCACCCCCTCTCTCACTCTGTCACTAAGGACAGAGGGGGTGATTAGTGACAGAGTGAGGGAGGGGGTGACTAGTGACAGAGTGAAGGAGCAGGTGACACAGTGACAGAGTTAGGAGGGAGTGACTAGTGACAGAGGGATGGGGTGACTAGTGACAGTCACCCCTTCCCTCACTCTGTCACTAGTCACTCACTCTGTCACCTGTCACTCCCTCACTCTGTCACTAGAGTGAGGGGGTGACTAGTGACAGAGTGAGGGAAGGGGTGACTGGTGGCAGAGTGAGGGAAGGGGTGACTAGTGGCACAGTGAGGGAAGGAAGGGGTGACTAGTGACAGAGTGAGGGAGGTGGTGACTGTCACTAGTCACCACCTCCCTCACTGTCACTACTCCCTCCCTCCTTCTGTCACTAGTCACGCCCTCCCTCACTCTGTCACATGTCATCCCCTCCCTCACTCTGTCACCAGTCATCCCCTTCCCTCACTCTGTAACCCCCTCACTCTGTCACTAGTCACCCCCTCACTCTAGTGACAGAGTGAGGGAGGGGGTGACTAGTGACAGAGTGAAGGAGGTGGTGACTGTCACTAGTCACCCCCTCCCCTCCCTCACTCTGTCACTAGTCACCCCCTCTCTCACTCTGTCACTAGTCACCCCCTCCCTCACTCTGTCACTAGTCACCCCCTCTCTCACTCTGTCACTAAGGACAGAGGGGTGATTAGTGACAGAGTGAGGGAGGGGGTGACACAGTGACAGAGTTAGGAGGGAGTGATTAGTGACAGAGAGAGGGATGGGGTGACTAGTGACAGTCACCTCCTCCCTCACTCTGTCACTAGTCACCCCCTTCCCTCTCTCTGTCACTCCCTCACTCTGTCACTAGTGTGAGGGGGTTACTAGTGACAGAGTGAGGGAAGGGGTGACTAGTGGCAGAGTGAGGGAAGGAAGGGGTGACTAGTGACAGAGTGAGGGAGGTGGTGACTGTTACTAGTCAACACCTCCCTCTGTCACTACTCCCTCCCTTCTTCTGTCACTAGTCACCCCCTCCCTCACTCTGTCACCAGTCATCCCCTCCCTCACTCTGTCACCAGTCATCCCCTTCCCTCACTCTGTCACTAGTCACCCCCTCACTCTAGTGACAGAGTGAGGGAGGGGGTGACTAGTGACAGAGTGAGAGAGAGGGTGACTAGTGACAGAGTGAGAGAGAGGGTGACTAGTGACAGAGTGAGGAAGGGGGTGACACAGTGACAGAGTGAGGGAGGGGGTGACTAGTGACAGAGTGAAGGAGGTGGTGACTGTCACTAGTCACCCCCTCCCTCTCTCTCTCTGTCACTAGTGACACCCTCCCTCACTCTGTCACTAGTCACCCCCTCACTCTCTCTGTCACTAGTCACACCCTCCCTCTCTCTGTCACTAGTCACCCCCTCCCTCTCTCTGTCACTAGAGTGAGGGGGTGACTATTGACAGAGTGAGGGGGGTGACTATTGACAGAGTGAGGGGGGTGACAGAGTGAGGGGGGTGACAGAGTGAGGGGGTGACAGAGTGAGGGGGTGACAGAGTGAGGGGGTGACAGAGTGAGGGGGTGACAGGTGACAGAGTGAGGGAAGGGGTGACTAGTGACAGAGGGAAGGAAGGGGTGACTAGTGACAGAGTGAGGGAGGGAGTGGGTGACCAGTGACAGAGGGAGGGGGTGACACAGTGAGGGAGGTGGTGACTAGTGACAGAGTGAGGGAAGTGGTGACTGTCACTAGTCACTAGTCACCACCTCCCTCCCTCTGTCCCTAGTCACCCCTCCCTCTGTCACTAGTCACCCCCTTCCTCACTCTGTCACTAGTCACCCTTTCCCTCCCTAACGCTGTCACTAGTCACCACTTCCTTCCCTCACTCTGTCACTAGTCACACCCTCCCTCACTGTCACTAGAGTGAGGGGGTGACTAGTGACAGAGTGAGGGAAGGGGTGACTAGTGACAGAGTGAGGGAGGTGGTGACTGTCATTAGTCACCACCTCCCTCTGTCAGTACTCCATCCCTCCTTCTGTCACTAGTCACCCCCTAACTCACTCTGTCACCAGTCATCCCCTCACTCTGTCACCAGTCATCCCCTCACTCTAGTGACAGAGTGAGGGAGGGTGTGAGTAGTGACAGAGTGAGGGAGAGGGTGACTGGTGACAGAGAGGGGGGGTGACTGGTGACAGTGAGGGGGGGTGACTAGTGACAGTGAGGGTGACTGGTGACAGTGAGGGGGGGTGACTGGTGACTGGGTGACAGTGGGGGGTGACTAGTGACAGTGGGGGGTGACTAGTGACAGGAAGGGACTAGCTACAGTGGGAGGGGGGACTAGTGACAGTGAGGGGGGTGACTCAGTGACAGTGAGGGGGGGGTGACTATGACAGTGGGGGGTGACTAGTGACAGTGGGAAGGGACTAGTGACATTGGGGGGGTGACTAGTGACAGTGGGGGGTGACTAGTGACAGTGAGGGGGGGTGACTAGTGACATTGGGGGTGGGGACTAGTGACAGGAGGGGGGGTGACTAGTGACAGCGAGGGGGTGACTAGTGACAGTGAGGGGGGTGACCAGTGACAGTGAGGGGGGGACTAGCTTACAGTGGGGTGACTTGCACAGTGGGGTGGACTAGTGATGCAGGGAGTGGGGCTGGTGCCTACCTGCATCTCTGCTTCCTCTCCCAGGCTGCTACTCCTTTCCCTCCTGGGCTCTGTGTGAGAGGAGTAAACCGGAAGTGAGGTCACTTCCTGGCCCCGCCTCTCCCATCACACAGAGCCGCATGGGAGAGGAAGCAGGAGACCTGGCAGGGAGGAGGTGTAGCTGCCAGGTCTCATGGGGGGGGGGTGACTAGCAGAGCGGTAGGTTGTGGGGCCCCGTGCTGCATCAGGGGCCCCACAACCTATCAATTAAATAGTTTTATTTTATTATTTTGCCGTTCCAGTTGGAGAGATCTTCGATCTCTCCAGCTGGAGCATGGCTGTGCTGCCGGGCCCCTGACTGCCTCGGGCCCTCGGTCCATGACCGATATGCCCGAGTGGTCAGTCTGCCCCTGATC